AAAATAAAGCCTGTGAAAGCAAAAGCAAATGCTTGGTATATTTTTGCAAGGACCAGATAAGGTTCTGTGTTGTACATGGTGAGCATCTGACCAACGATGGCTACTGTGAAGGGTGCAATGAATACAGGACCCCAAGTTCACTGATATGGATCATCAGCATAGCCAATATGCATCGATCATGAGTGTGGGGCAATGCATTGTCCTGAACTAATATTTCAACTTAGTAGACTTGATCTTATGAGACCTCAATGAGATGGGTACGGCAAGCACTGCTTTTTTCTAGGGGAGGAAACCAAAGGGCTAAGAGCTCAGTCGCTTGTACGTGTACTCAACACACAGCCACCGTGGTGAAGACAGGCAACCAGGATTTCTGGCTGCTGTTTCTACCCTGCCCGCTCTTTAACCTTCATGGTCCCCTATTTCTCCAGATGAGAAAGAAAGATAGTCTCACAGCTGGCTATAAATGGAGATGGCTAGAGCCCTGACCCCAAATCCAGAGATCTTTACAGCCATGCTCTGTATAAGCACCCTCTGAACTGTGCCCTGGTCCCTTAGAAATTTTCTGATTCTCAGATTTTCGATTTTCTGATTTCTCATTTTCTAAGCTTTCATTAAGTTCAAATGCTTCAGGACAGGAGGCTTTAGCTCAGCCGTAGGGTGCTTGCCTGGTATGCACGAGGCCCTGGGTTTGACCTCCAGCACCACTAAAGAAATAAATAAACAAATCCATACACACATGCATATTCAAATGCTTTTAAGTAATGGTTTGTGGTGGGAAATCATCCATTTGTTCTATGAATTTCAATGAACTGTCTACTGTGCTAGGTCAGAAGGCGCCTTGTGAAGGACACAAACGTCCCTGTCCTTAGAGGGTTGAGCAGGGATAGGTGGGCATTGCAGGGCTAGCACTGCAGCTATCAGGGGTGGAAATCTTGCGACAGAGAGCCACCCTCTAAAGCCCTGGCCCTCTGCTCTTGATCAGCTGCAGCAGGCCACCCTGACTCTGACACACAGCGCCTTCTGCTCAAGGCTGGAAGGGCCCACCTTGGCCTCGTGGCCCAATCAGCCTGCAGAGGGAAGCTAGAGGGACTCTACCACAGCCACATTTTCCCTGTAGGAAACAGGTGAAGAAATAGACAAGATAAAAGAAAGCAGGGAGGGGTCACTCTGCACTGCACCAGCAAACACAGCCCTGCATCTGGGGGGACCCTCCCAACCTTGATTTGCAGGCTTGTCGGGCCCCAGGGGAAGCACCTGACACCTCAGGTCTTCAGTTTGGACTCGTGATGTATGAGCTGTATTGATTCAGCAACATTACTTTCTCCTCTGCGCTTCTGGTTTCTCCTGTGCAAAAAGGGAGCCAATACTTTTTTCCTACTTTTCAGGACTGTTTGGCAGAGGCTCTGAACATGTAAGTGTGTGTGTGTGTGTGTGTGTGTGTGTGTGTGTGTGTGTGTGTCCAATTCCTGGTGTTAGCAGGCACTCAATACCTGTCTCCAGTGAGTCCACCTTTCAGAGGTTTAGAGAAAGCATCACTGACCCCTAATCCCAAGTCCTGTTTCTTCCCTTAGCCAGCTGTAGGACTTGGAGTTAAACCACCTCCCTGAACCTCAGGTCCCTCCTCTGCGTCCTAGATATGACAGTATCTGTATCAGAACCATCGCAAGAGTTCAATGCAAAGAACCCAGTAAGCAGTAGTCGCTCTTAGGGAGTAATTGCTATTGTTGTTGCTGTTTTTCTATCTTTCTGAGACAGGGTCTCATGACGCAGTTCAGGCTGCTCTTGAGCTCACTTTGTAGCCCAGGCTGGTCTCCAACTCTCAATGATCCCCCTGCCTCAGCCTCCCGAGTGCTGGGATTATAGGTGTGAGCCATCACACCTGGCAGTTGTTATTATGATTACCAATGTTCATATTATTTCAAGGCTGCCATATTTCCAGGTCAACCTTCACTCCTAGAAAAAGAGCTATATGTAATTCAAGTCATCGCAAACATGCAGGCTCGGGGGGCGCTGGGCCATATTACATGAGGAGGACCTCTACGGGAAAACCTCTGAAATGATCTGGCTTTGGCAAATTTTGTAATAATGCTCATTCCTTGCTAGGTCCTCACTCAGGGCGTGAGGAGCAGCCCCTGCAAGCACAGGGTCATCTGTATAGGTTCTTCAGGGGGAGCCAGGGTGTTGCAGGGTTGAAACAGGAAAGAGCCCCTGAACCTGCTTCGGAGCTCTGCCGGGCTGTGATCCCACACCTAGCCGGGCCTCCCATCGTGGGCTTGCATCCGTGTTTGCAAGCAAGGCTCACCCTGCCTCCCCCATCTCTCCTCCCTCCCAGCCCCCACCCCAGCCATTCCCTGAGACCCGGCTGGCTCCGAGGGTTCCAGACAGAGGAGCTAAACACGTTAGCCGACAGACTAGCAAGACACAAAAGGCGGCAGGAATCAAATAAAAGGAAAAGACAGCAGCTACAGGTCAGTCCTGTATAAATATTTATGCTGAAGGAAAAGTTGGTGCCTGGATAATGACCTTGTGGCTGGTATTAATAGAGATAATGTGAGTCTCTAGGACAGGCTGCCAGGAGAGAGGGGCGAGCGAGGAAGGGAGGCAGAGCAGAGCTGGGTGGTTATAAATCTTGGTGCCAAGCCCAGCCCAGCCCGGGCTGACCTCTGCGCCCCTCCCTCCCCTTGCCCCCTCCAGCCACCTCCCCCCGCCCAGACTGCGTCTTCAGATCTGTTCTCCCTCCTCCCCACGGCCCACTGCCACGCGGGCTCTCCCTCCTGCATTAGCTCTGTCAGGCTCGGGCTCCTCACCCCCACCGCAGCCTGCAGCTTGGCCCGATGCTGGGTACACAGCTGGTGCTCAATAAGGGCTACAGCTGCCAAGTCATGGAGCGAGGCATGATACCCACGTCGGATGCCCCAAGCATGAGACCCATCTTTGAGAGTTTCCTCCTGATCCAGCTAGCCTGGCTCTGTGAGAGCTCATGGGCCTCCCCAAATGCAAATCTGCCCTGCTTCTCTCTCCTGCCAGAAGTTCCTCCCTGGTCTGCAGAGCAAACATTTTTTAATGTTTGCTCAAACTCCTCAGCCCACAGGAGCCTCCTGGCACTGGCTCCTGCTCCCCTTCGTAGCCCCACCTCTTGCACTCTCCATCCTTCGAGGACCCCTCCTCAGCAACACTAAATTGCTTCTAGTTCCCCCAAAGCCACACCCAGGCCTTTAGCTTTCCGTTTCCTCCCCTGGCATGCCCCAGTCCTTAGCCTCTTGCAGGCTTCCCCAGTTACATCCCTTTCTCCTGGAAGTCTCCCTTGCTTGCAAGACTCCTTTTCTGCTCCTGGGGAGCCCTGAGCCTCTGCATCTCTCACCGAAGAGTCACTGTCCCCTCTCCTTTGTTCCTTCAAGACTTTGAGCGTGAGCCATGCATGTGGTGCACGTGTGCAAGCCCAGTGCTTGAGGAGGCTGAGGCAGGAAGATCACCTGTTTGAGCCCAGCCTGGGCAAGTTAGTGACACCCTGTCTCAAAATTTACAAAGGGCTGGGGGTGTTGCTCAGTGCAAAGGCTCTGGGTTCAATCCCCAGTGCTACAAGGAAAAAAAAAAAAAAAAAGAGTGCGCTCCAGGAGGGCAGTCAGCTGACATGAACTGATGACCACACCTGCACGCCTGACACAGAAGGTGCTCAGACAGCGGCTGTCAAATGAGCCATGTGGACAAGGCTCTTTCTGTTTAAAAAATGAAATCGACTCAAACTTTTGCCATCCTAGACACAGTAAAGTGGGAGCTTCAAATATCTGAACAGAGCCCCACCTGAGCCAGGGTATGAGACCCGGGACTATCCTTCTTTCAGCTGCCAGGTGGGGACTCCCATTAGGGGGCAAATTTCCTGACGGTGGGCAGGAGGGAGCCCAGGTCTGCATGCCAAGAAAACATGAGGGGGCACAAGAGAGAGAAACAGGCTTGGGAGCAGCACCCCGGCTCCAGCGGCCAGTGTGGGCACCTGGGTACCAAGATGCACAGGTCACTTCCTGCACTGGCCCTGAGCACACCTGCTCCTGCTCATCTTCAAGATGGGCCCAAGATGCGTGATCCTTGTGCTCCACGGGAGACAGCAGAAGTGGGTAAGGTGCAGAGCTGATGCAAGTGGGTGAGTCCCAGAGAAAGGACACTTACCCCTTGTAGGAGAAGGCAGCAGGGGTAGGGAGAGATACTGCACCCCACGTGCGCTGCGGCACCACCCACAACAGCCAAGTCGTGGAAACAGCCTAAATGCCCATCAGTGGGAAGGCGGATTAACAATGTGGGCACCCACGTGGAGGAATAGTATTCAGCCTTTAAAAAGAAAGGGAAGTCTCATGCATGCGGTCACATAAAAACCCTCAAAACCACTGTGTGAGGAGAAAGAAGCCAGACACAAAAGAACGGATGTCACACGAGTCTGCTCACACCAGCTACCTAGACTAGTCAAATGCACGGAGACAGGAAGCAGAAAGTGGCTTCCGGGGGCTGGGAGAGGGGCGCTGGGGACTATCAGTTAATGTGTGTGCTGCGAAAAAGGCAGACACGGTACATTTTATGTCTCATGTCCGATTAACATAATTTTTTTGAAAAGCAAAGAGAGACAGAGGGGAAAGGCAAATCAGGATGGAAGCAAAGAAAAAGGAGGCAGAGGGGGGAAATGGAGCGCGCAGCAGGAAGGCCGTCCAGGGACATCCGGGGAGGCGGGGCCACCGTGCATGCTGAGCCCTCCCTTCCGCCACCGCGGAGCCTTCCTGGCAGAGGTGCGCGCACCTTCCTCCTCCCGCACGCTGGAGGGCACCGCAGCCTCACCGCAGGTCTCCAGGAACACCCGCCCTGTTCCGGCTCCAAAGGCCTCTTCCCTCCTTGAGCTCAAAAGGGAAGAGATCCTAAGAGTAATTCAGTGGTTTCCAAAATGCTTTCCCCTCCCAAACAGCCCTAAAATGTACAAAAACCACAGCAAATTTCTGCAAGAGGAAATTTAGCCACCGTTTGTCTTTAATGTAGATTTATTTTCGGTTTGAGTAAAACTCAAGCGCCTAAGAAGTCCAGATGGACGAGTCACGCCTGCAACGCTGGTGACAAAATGGGTTTGGCCCTTCCCAGTTCCTGGCGACAATCTGGCTGTGGCATCAGGTGTGGGAATCAGAATGAAACCAACCTCGGCGTCACAGAGTGGAGAATCGCCACAGGGTCACCTGACAGCTCTCAGTTCTCCATGCCACTTACTGCTTCCTGGCCATAGGCCTGGGAGGTGTCCGACTCCAGGGACCTGCTGGGCAACCCGGGGGCTGGTAAAGGCTGCAGGATGCATCCTCACCCAGGGGTCACAAGCAGATCTGCTGCAGGACATCCAACACCGCGTGGGGTGGAGACCTTCCAGCGGGCAGCCACCAGGACAAGTGGGGAAGACTCAGCTGGTGGTGGTGGGGGGCAACAGCGCCCCCTGGGTGAGCAATTCCTGCACTTCACGTGCACCAGGACGGGGACTCAGTTTCCTCCACAGCCCATCCGATAGGTTTCTGAAGACAGCGGCTAAGGGGTGGGGGAGGGCCGGGATTGTGGCTTAGTGGTAGATTGATTCCCAGTATCACAAAAAGGAACAAAGGAAAGAAGGAGGAAAGGAAGAAAGGAAGGGAGGAAGAGGCCTGGGGAAAGAAGGCAGATGGGGAGGAAGGAGAGGGGAGGGGAGGGGAGAGGAGGGGAAAGAAAGATCACTGTCAGGTTCGATCCAGCTCAAAACAATAGACAGTTCATGGTGGTTAGACATGAAGCCAGAGTACCCTAACATCCAAACCCACCTCAATCCCGCTAGGACTTCTCCATCTATGCTTTTTATCTGCCTGTCCCTGTCCTCCTCCATCTCTTCTTCCTCCTCCAACCCACGCTGCCTCCCTTCCTTCCTCTCCCCACCCTCACTTCCACTTTCTTTTTTCTGACCCTGGGAGCTTCCTCATTTTAAAATCTGTCACAATTCCTCACCTGCGGGTCCACTTAGTTCACAGCCACAGAGATAATCTACTTGACTCTCTCCTCTGCTCCTGTGAAACCTCATGATTGGCTGCCTTTGGTCAGGTGACCGCCTCACCCAATCAGTGACTGCTCAAGTGAATGAGAGGAAGAGGGTCATGTGATATGCAACATGGCTGCCTACATGACCAAGACCTGGCCCGGGCTTCCATTTAAAGGGCGTGTGGGTGAGGCAGGCTTGCCCTCTACATCCCCCATTGTGCAAATGAGGACTGTGTCTCAAAAAAGTAAAGTGACTTAAAGAAATTAAATGGAATTAGAAAAATAGAGTTGGAAATTTAAAGACCAACTCTCTTGTCTCCTAGCCTCACCTCTGAGACAAATGACTTATGAGTTCCCTGTATTTTAAGTGGAGAAAGTTGAGAAACTACTGACCATATTTCTGGTATATTCTATGAATAAAATTAGATGGTAGATAAGAAACTGTTCTGTACACAATATGTAGTGTTTGTCAGTACATCAATTTGTCAACATACTGTCCTCTATTTGCTATTGATCTACCTAGTCCAAGATCACCTAGCTACTTACCAGAAGGATTTTATCTGCCTTGACTTAATTTGTCATCACCCCTGTCCAGAGGTTGCCTAATTTACCAGGAAGGCAACGTGGCTTACCTTTACAGAGTGCTATGATTTAGATGGAGATCCCCCCAAACTGTAAAGCCTCATGGGATCATAGATGGGGCTTTAGGGAGTTGACTGCATTATGGGGTCTTGATATTAGGAGGTGGGGCTGCTCAGAAGAGGGGGCCCCGGGGCATGACTGGGTTTCTCTCCCTCCCCAGCTCCTCCCTTCAGTCTCTCCGCTTCCTGTCCAGCTCTTCTCCACCAGGCCCCTGTGCTGTGCTGTGCTGTGCTCCTTGGACCCAGCTAGCAACAGACTAAAAGGTGAGCCAAAATCAACGTCTCCTTCCTGGACTGAGGGTGTGTGACACCACCTCAGCAGTGCACAAGTGACAAAGACACAGGGTGATGTGGGGTGATGCAGGCACAGGGGAAAGGAGAGCATCTTTAAGACACAAAAGACACATTTTCCTAGAGGAAAGAGAAGACCAAGAAAGCATTTCAAGAACATGGCACTGTGTCATCGTGGCTCCTCACACTTGGGGGAGGCCGTTGCTGCCATTTCCTGTTTTATGAGCCAACTCAGACGGTTTAATAACTGCTGGCTTCTCCTCCACCCACCAGGCTCACGAGGAGGCACGTTCTCCCTTCCTTCCCTGCTTCTTCTTCCTCCCCCCCCCATTCTCTTGGCTCTTCCTGGGACCATCAATACTTTATGCCTCACGGTGTCGCATTCGAAGCTGTGAAGGGTCTGATTGTGTGGTTGATCTGTAATGTAAGGTTAATGCCTAATTAGCTCGTTTAACATTTCTTTCGTGGATAATTCATGAGAGGTCATTAACAAAAGCCAGGGCAAACAGAGGGGCATGTTCATCACCATAAATCAGAGGCCTAAAACCATTACAGAAACAGGAAAATGCATGTATTATTCAGGTCCGACAAGAGCCAGGTCAGCAGAAGGCTCCCCTGTGCTCTTCTGACCTGGAGGTCAAAGGACCAAGTGCAAAGCTTGAGAGATATTGCAATTAGCAGAAATGGACATCCCAAGTCTAGTGGGGACACATCTCCTGGTCACCATATGGCTAATCCCGGTCACGGTTATGCTTATAATTGTCCAGATAAAAAAAAGACTCTTTTCGTCACCAAATAATGCACATACACACCGCACCATAAATAGCTACTAGTTTTCAAGCAGTTGCCAAGCACCTTGCTGGATATGAGCGTGTGTGTGTGTGTGTGTGTGTGTGTGTGTGTGTATTGCCTGTATCAGGCAGCTATGGCTGCCTAACAAACTGCCCTGAACCTCGTTGCTCTGTGCAAGTTTTTGTCTCTGCTGGTTGGTGCTCTGAATGTGGCCCGAGCCCATCTGACTGCAGTAGGGTTCTTTTCTGCGTCCATATCTGGCTGGGAGGTTGAGCAATCTGGTCTTGTGCACGTGTCTGGCTTTTGCCAGCTTGTTAGGTAGCAGAGATGCCTCGGCCCTGTGTGTCCCACAGAGAAGTCTAGGTTCTGTGAGACAAATTAGATGCACATGAGACCTCTTGAAGTCCAGGCTTGGCACAGGAATGGGGTCCTGTTGGCAACATTTTATAGCTGAGAGTAATTCAGTGGTTGGGCAATTGTCTCCACCTTTTTAATGGCAGGAGCTGTGGATTAGTGCAAAAGGTACAGAAAGGGTGGAGAATCGCAGTCATTTTGCAATTATTACACCTCAAGCCCTCTCCTCCCATTACCCATTCTTCCAATAAACATTTACTGAGTACTTGTTATATGCCAGGCACCATCCTAGGTGCTAAGAAAATAAGCAGTGAGCCAAAGGTCCTACTCATCTGAGATGTAATATACTGGTGAAGAACACGAGACAAACAGCAAACAAATAGGTGAGTACATGTATCAGATACTTTTCCATGACATTAAATACTATAAGGAAAATATAGCAAAGTAGCTGTATGTAATCTTTTAGCTCTCTGAGGTGGTAACACTTGCCTAAGACCTGAGGGATGAGAAGGAGTCATCACCCATGATTGGAAGGAGAACACTGTAACAACAAGAAGAGCAGGTTGAAAGGTCCTGGGGCAGGATTGTTTCAAGAACTAGAGATATCAGTGTGCTTGGAGCACAACAGGTGAGAGGAAGTGGGGAACTGAATAGCAGATAGATCCTATGGAGACTTAATTTTAAGGAAAGTAAAATTTAGAGGTGAAGCGATTTGCCCCCAAGATCATTTTTAAAAAAGCAAAGCACACAGCCAAGCTGGGATATGAAACTGGGATCATCTGAATCCAGAGTCCACGCACTTTGCTGTGATTTACTTGTGATTTCTTGGCAAGGGCATCAGCTGGCACCAGGAAACTCTAAGACCTCTGCTGTGGCATCTTTTCTTGTGGATGGAAACAAAAATCAAGGCAGCCGGGGCTGGGGATTTAGCTCAGCGGCATAAGCGCCTGCCTTGCAAGTGTGTGGTCGTGAGTTCGATCCCTGGTACCGGTAAAAATACAAAAATACAAATAAAAGAAATCCAGCAGCCCCTCAGCAGCAGGAACGAGGCTGGCTGAGAAGTTGGCCCAAACCCTGCGATGCTTTGCTCTGCCTACAGGAGGGGAGTTCTTTAGGCTGAATGTTTTCATGCAGTTCCTTTTTTATGCCTAGACCGGGCACTGGGCAGTAGAGAATCCCAAGACCCTTGCGTCTGGAACCTGCGGGCTTTGTAGGAGATTAACGCTGAACTGACCAAATGCCCGCCAGGTGATGTGGGATCAGATACTGCAGAAGACACCAGAGCCAGGCACCTGGGAGAAGCTGTGCCCTGGGCTTGGGCGAAGGCGACCAGGGAAACCCTGTGGACAGAAGCGGAATAAAGGAGGGAGCCCCAGCTGTTTGAGAGAACAGCAGGAGAGGGCCTGGGGCCCCCTAAAAGCCGAGAGAGAGAAACAGCCACAACAGGGCGAGCAGGGGATGAGCAGGAGAGAGGCAACTGTGACTCACGCGACCTCTGACCACTAGGACAAGCCCAGTCTGCAGACTGCGAGGGGGCCGAAGGGTGCCGGACTGTCGCTCAGGTGGGAGGAGATGGCTCCAATCAGGGGGGTTGCTAGGGAGAAGCGATACTTGATTAAGCGAGACAGGCAGTCAAGCAGTAATTGCACTCTGGATAATTTCATCAAAATGCTGAACAGAATGACAAGAGGCAGCTACTGTGGAGCGGGGCATCACGATACCTGTGGTCTGTGTCCCTTATTATCGGGCAGGGAAGTCTTCCCAGAAGCAGCTCATGATGGCAGTTTAAAGGAAGGGAAAGAGCATTTCGGGCAAAAGGAAGAGCACATGCAAAGAGCCTGGGGCAGGGAGGGCTGGGCAAGTGTGGCCCCGCGGGTGTTTGGGGTGACACGTCTTCCCTCTGCGATGTGTGACCCTCTTGGCTCATTTCTGAAATAACTGGTGAGCCACATATCTCATAGGACAAGCCCGCCCTGACTCCACCTTGCTGTCCTGCTCTTTCCTTGGCCCTCTGTAAGCAGGGAAGGAGGATTCGGAGAAGCCCACCTGGTATGTGAACTGTGCGGCCAGTCCTTCCAGTGGGCAGGAGCCACGTTACTAAGGACGGTCCAGGGTCGAGCACTGCTCGTGGGAAGGGCCTGAGAAACCCTGCTTTGTCCCGCACCCCTGCCTTCAGAGACAGGCTTGCTCTTTAGGAACCGAGGCAGGTGTGGGGAGAGGACAGGATGGCCCCCCGAAGGGAAGTCGAGATTAAGCACATAAGCCGCCCTTTTCAATGCTTAGCGGGCCCTTCCCATTGGATCCCAAATGGGCCACACTTGAGGAATTAAATAAACAGCATTTGTCAGCCTTTGTGGGCTCCCAGCTGTATTTATTTATAGGCTGGCCTGTTATTTATGGGCGCTCATGCTCCGTATAAAAGCTTTGTGGGGAGAAGGCAGAGTGCTTCATGCTCGGTCGGACTCTGGAGTGTTTGCTCCAAGGAGCTCCGGCAGTGACCCCTCGCTGCTCTGTCCCCCAAGTGCCAGGTGCCGGTGCACGTCAGCACAGACGTCCTGGAAGTAGGGACCCCTGGGCGCCTCCCCTAAGGAGACAGGACCCCAAGCTGACTTCTGAACGCCAGTCCCTAGTTAAAAGTTAAAACTGAAACAAAGCAATTTGGGGTCACTGGGACTCGGACTCACAGCTAGCAAGCCCCGACGGTCACGTCTTCAGGCAGGAGTCCTGGCAGGAAGCTGGTCTCCGCAGATTTCGGAAAACCAGTGAGTGAATAATGAATGGGTGACTATATGTTGTCCCATTATTGCGAACAAATGCCACGTGGAGCACCTCGGGGAGAGATAAGACCTGGCAACGTGTGTCCAGGACCTTCAACTCTGCACAGCTCGGGCTACGGAGTTCACCCCAGAGAACTCATCCTAAAGAAAAATCCAAACTCAATGAAGACAGGAAGGAAGAGAAAGAAAGAAAAGTATCTCTCGCACAATAAGATATTCTTTGTATTATTTTTGTAATAGTGAAGAATTAGAAACACATAAGTGTCAGTAATACAGTAATTATGGACTTTAGGGGATCCTTACGTTGGTGAGCTAGTAAAAATTTTCTTGTAATGATGCATAAAT